CATACTGGTTCAAACAGGAGGAGACATATTACAGGCTGACATCCATAAACTCGTTAATTCTATTTGGGGTAAGGAAAGATTGCCTTATTAGTGAAAGGAGTCATTATTGTACCAATTTACAAGAAGGGTGATAAAACTATGGTAATTAATGAGGAATATAACTGTCAACAACTTCATATAAAATGTTATCCAATATCTTTCTCTCATGATTAAGTTCATATATAGATGAAATTAGTGATGATCATCAGTGTGGGTTTCAAACCAATAGATAAACTACTGATCAGATGTTTTCCATTTGTCGGATAATGGAGAGGAAGTGGGAGTATGATGAGACAGTACATCAGCTATTTGCAGACTTCAAGAAAGCCTATGATTTAGTTAGGTGGGAAGTAATGTACAATACTGTGTTAGAGTTGGGGATACCCATCAAATTAGTCACATTTAATAAAATGTGTTCAAACTAAGCGTATGGTAGAGTCTGTAGAGGTAAACATTTGTCTGATAATTTTCCTATCCAGAATGGTCTAAAACAAGGAGATGCTTTACCACAACTGCTTTTCATCTTTGCTTTAGAATATGCCATTAGGGAGGTCTAAGAAAACCAAGTGGGACTGAAATTAAATGGGACACATCAGCTGTTGGTCTATGCTGATGATAGGAATCTACTGGGTGATAATATAGATACCATAAAGAGAAACACAGAAACTTTAATTGACGCTAGTAAGGAGGTTCGTCTTGAAGTAAACACAGAGAAAACTAAGTATATGTTGCTGTCTCATCACCAAAATGCAGGGCAAAAGCAGACATAAAGATAGCTAACAGGTGCTCTGAAAATGTGGCATAGTTCAAATGTTTTGGAACGACAGTAACAGATCAAAATTTGATTCAGAAAGAAATTAAGAGGAGACTGAATTCGGGCAATGCTTACTACCCTTCAGTCCAGAAACTTCTGTCTTCTTGTCGGCTGCCCAAAAACATAAAAATTAGAATATACAAAACTATATTTTTGTCAATTGTTGTGTATGTGTATGAAACTTAGTCTCTGACAATAAGGGAGGAACACAGACTCATTGAGTCTGAGGAGAACAGTTGGACTGATAGCAGGATGGAGACAACTGCATAATAACTTGTGTTCTTCGCGAAGTGTAATCAGTACAATCAAATCAAGGAAGATGATATGGGCAGTGCATGTGGCACACATGGGAGAAAAAAGGAATGCATATAGAATTTTGTTTGGAAAGCCACAAGGAAAGGGACCTGCAGGAAGACCTAATCATAGGTGGAAGGATAATATTAAAATGGATTTTGGAGACTTGGTGGAGTGGTATGGAACCTTTGGGTTCCATAAAATATCTGGAAATACTTGAGTAGATGAGCAACTGGCTACTTCTCAAGAAGGGCTCAGCTCCATGATCTTAGCTAGTTTATCAAGTGACATTAGACACACCAGTCAATTTTCTAAACAAATCTCCCACGTAATCTACCCTTGATAAACTGAGTCTACTGTATTTAAAATTAATATTCATTAATGTGAATGGTGGTGACATGCAACAAAATTAATTGTTGATGTGTGGTACCAAATCATGTATTGCAATTGCAAGATCTAAAAAAAAAACATAAAAAGTATAGTAAATGAGATGATACAAACATTTGTTGAATGTAATCCCTTTAATTACTGGTATGTGGTATCATAACACATACCACAGTCTAATACTTGTAAATACGAACAGAAGCCTGCAATACATGGCATCATACAGTCTGCCAATTATTAACAAGTTTATATTCAAAAACCCCTCATATAAGTGAACATCAATATAATATTAGCATTAGCTATTTACAAAAATTATATTACTGATATATTTTAAACTCATTTGTTTATATATGTTGTAAAGTTTCCTTTATTATTTGGTTTTCCCTTGAAGATGGTCACTTGTGACTGAAATATATCCATAGCTCAGTTGGTATAGCAATGGATTACAGGCTGGATGGCTGGGGTTTGATTCCTGGCAGAGGTAAAAGATTTTTCCCTTCTTCACGAGGTCAGACCAGCTCTGGGGTTCACCCAGCCTCCTACAGAATGGGTACCAGAGGTAAGTAGTTGGGGCATGAAGCTCATCACTCACCTTCACCTAGTGCCAAGGTCAAGAATGGTGGAGCTACATCTCTATTTCCCTATACATCTTCATGGTATGGTGTTTAATTACTTATGCAAAGGGACAAATTTACCTTCTTTTTACATGTCAGAGATGCAGTAGTATTTAATGGGAAAATTAAGTAAATTACATATACTTACATGGTGACTTGACATCTTATTTTAAAGTATACTGACAAAATTAATTGTATCATATTGTGCGATACCTTCCTTATCCTCGGCTTCACAGCTATGGACTTTGAGCAGATGACTGTATTTTATTTATGCGGAGATTAATTAACATCATAATTAGCAACTCAGGCTATATAATGTCAAATGTGTGCTTGACGGTGAATGAAGAATTGGAAAGTATATGGTCATGGCCTAAATTAAGTTACCATCCTACCATTTGCCCGAAGGAACTGAGGAAAACCACGATAACTTTCAGTCCGTATAATTAGTTTCCCAGCTTAGAATGAAATTAAGAACCTCCCAAAAACTGATCCTACAGTCCTTATTTGGGGTGGGAGAAACTTATGATATCACGGTGCTGTCTGTGTGTCTGTGTATCCTACCCTAATTCCTGAAATCTGGAACAGTGCAGCCTGAAGAGACCATATAAACAAACATATGACATGTGGTCTTAAAGCTTAAATAGTACAGTCAGTTAATGGCATTGTCGGCGCAACAGTCTTCCCACTCTCAGGTTTCTGCAATCTGCAAATGATTGCTAACAAGAGTCCTGAGTTGTCCTCTATGGGTCAGATCACAGAGAACACCACCTCCAATAGTTCTTCTTTTGTTAGGCTACTTTCTCTGTTTCTGTACATGCAATACCATTATTGCTGCTAATGGCTTAGAAAACATGTTCATATGGCAATGTATACACATGCAATAATAGGATAATTGTTATATGCATCATTTTCTATGTGGTCCATGCCATAGCAAAGGTACGAGGGGGTACCCAAAAGAAATTAACTTATTTATTCATATTTTAAGCACAAACTTTCAATCCCCTTCAAAGTACTCTCCACTTACACTAATACACTTGTCTAGTCTTTTATTCCATTTTTCAAAACATTGTCTAAATTCATCTTTTGAGATGCTTGACAGCGCCTCCGTCGTTTTTTCCTTTCATGTCTTTTTTGATTCGAGGAAACAAAAAAAAAAAAAGTCGCACAGGGCAAGGTTGGGTGAGGAACAGGGGTCATACCATTTTTGGTCAAGAACTGTCATACAGACAGGGCTGTGTGAGCAGGGGCATTGTCATGATGGAAAAACCAGTCACACGACTGCCACAAATCTGGCCGCTGAACTCCAAGTCACTCCCAACAGCTCCACAATTTCTTCAATTGTCCGGCGTCGACCTTCCTTGATGATTTCACGAATTTTTTCAACATATTTATGTGTTCGGGCCGTGGAAGGACGACCAGAATGAGGTTTGTCATCAATTGACATTTCACCATTTTTGAAATGGGAAAACTACTCAAACTCTTGAGTTTTCCCCATAGCATCGTCCTTGTACGCCGTTTTTAACATTTCAAGAGTTTCTGTTCCACTTTTCCCGAGCAAAAAGCAGAATTTCACTGCCGCACGCTGTTCACGAAAATCAGCCATTGCAAAAACGACGATCACACAAAACAGTTGTCACTATAAACTCTGCCAAAACTAGTCCTTACCTTCTGAAGCAACGGTAGTCGGCTTACTGACTGAGGAATGTTAGCTCTATGCGCTCATAGCGGCAAAACACGGTACTACAAAAGCTCTGGTCACAAAAAAATTAGTTCAGTTTCTTTTGGGTACCCCATCGTAAGTAGGCAATCCGTTCTTCCCTGAAGTTTTACCTTGTTCTTCAAGTGATTCAATCCCTTCAGGTTCTCCAATTAAAATTTTGTATGCATTTCTTGTTTCCTTTATGTCTCAACCATATCCTTCATCATTTGATCACCCTATTAGTAGTTGGTAAGGCATGGTCCAAACACCATGACTGAGATGGCAGCAGTCCTGCTTCATATTTGGGAGGTCCAGGGTTCAAATCTCTATCCTAACTACAGGTTTTCATGAAGTTCCTCTGCCTCTCCAGCAAAATTCTAGAATGGTACCTCAAATTAGGCTATGACTCCTTCCTTCTACAGCCTTTCCAAATCACCTGTTCATTAATCAACCTACACCAGACACTATGCACCCTGAGCTGCTGAAAGTATCATTAAAAGCACCATAAGTAAATAAACTGGTTATGATATACCATTCTGTATCTTAAAGTTATGTAAAATAAAATAAAATAGCCTAAATTATTTTCATTTACAACAAAATATTGTATTTGTTGGAGAAATATAAAAAAGTCCAAATATGAGAAAAGAATTTTCACTTTGCTACCAATATTGAAGATAGATCTGTAAATCTGTTGGTTTCAGGTAAACACATTTAGGTCCTAATGTAGCTGCTACATTCAGTTAAATGGGACAAAACTTTAATTCACGTTGCCCTACATATGGGCAGATACACAAGTTACCATTAAGTTTTTATGACACAACTCAATCATCCACTCTTGGCAGCAGTGCTACAAAGAATGTCTGTTCCCATCATGTGGCTCTACCAATAAAAACATTGGGTATGTCAGTCTTCAATAATAATGACTCTCGGTTAATGTTCATGCTGAAATAATACACTATAAGCATTCACAACCTCGGAACTATATGAGGGCTCGCTGTCGATATTGCCTTCATTAACCGGTAGGCTGCTCACGAGTTACGTTTACTTTAACCTAACCTCAAAATGCAATTTCATATAAGAGCAACATTTCAATTTGTTCATGCTGTAAATAAAGAAAGTAAACACCGAAAAATATACTTCACTAGTGTACATATACCTTATAATTTTCAAACCCAGACAAATGTTCTTGACTCAGATACTGCACTTCCATTTTTTGATATATATTTTCTTTCACTTCTGTAATGTCAACCTACTACAGTTACAAGAATGCATTCAGATGTATTATAACATCGTCGTATTATTTGTGTGTCACATTATCTAAAAATACATAAATTGTTAGATATCACAGTACACACACTACAAGCGTGAATTGCTGAACTGAACATAAAAAAGTGTGACTATGAATGAACAAAATCAGTTACTATCGTTACTGCCGTGACGCGTGTTTGGAATATTTCATTTATGATTTCATATGTCCACCGCAGTATGGCGCTATTCAGCTACAGTTTGCTTTGACGATATTGGGCGCAACGTGACACCCCATAACTTGGTAGGTTTTGTTTTTTATTTACATAATATTAGCAATTAGAATTGCGTTTGATTCTATAAGCTAATTTTCTGTAGTATTCTTCGTGACGTGGAGAGGGCTTATCCATAGACAGGTAGGTAACTACGAATGTTTCCGAGGAACCTGCTGTCTCCATCTTCAGGATACATATCTCGACAGACACCGAAAACCTCACATTTCACAGTGTTCTGCAAAAGTAACTGCGATCAACGCGAAGGTAAGATAGGTACTGACAGTTAAAGTGAAAACCCCGACAAGCTGGTTTAGTGGACTTTAGATGGAACTCTGAACCGTGGTATCTGTTATATCCAAATACCACGGATCGCCACGGATCACTTGTTCATTTAAGACCACGGAAGTAATTGGTGAGTCAAAGTCAAAGTCAAAGTGAAATTCACATTGTGACTAACGGTCGGTCAGTCTGTCTGTCTTTGTGTCGAGCCCGAGCTGGGGCTTATGACCAGATGTTTTATTCTTATATTAAAGTTGCTGTCCTGTCCATTTGGGGAGCTAGTCATGTCAATATTTACATTTTAATCTTAGTCTTAATTCCTACTTCTATGTACTATTTATACAAGCCCTCTGTCAGTCCAGGCTCAGTACAGCAGATTATGTCCTATTTCTAGTAGTATTCGCTATCATGGCAGTCTAATCACTTGAACGGTCGTATGCCTAACCGCCAAGTTTAAGCCTCTTATACTATCTATGTCGGGCTTCGCCTTGATCAATATTGCGAACATTCTCATTGGCATGATTTAGTATGACTTCTGCTTGATGCCGCCTGCATAATTTTGTTTTATAGTCATTATACGTACGGAATTTTGAACGCAATATGCAAATCGGGGACCGATGTGCGCCTTGGAAAATTGCCAGTGGTACGGAGAACCTGTTTTTGCAGGCGCTGCAATTTTATGAAATGGGTGTCTGCCGCAACTTCCCAGGCGGGACTAGCGTAAGTCATTACGGGTCTAACATGAAGGGTCAGTTTAATGTTAGCGCTCAATCACTCACATTTGGATAGGGAATATACTCTAATGAATGTTCTAAAGGCCTTGGCTTCGATGATTTCTATGTGCAATCTCTGTAACTCTCGTATCGAAGATTACACCTAGATATTTTGCACTATTTACAAATTGAATATTTAGTCCATTTAGAGTAAGACTAGACTCAGGCGGTCGGCGACTACGAGAGAAGTAGACCCCCTGAGTCTTATCTTTATTAATTTTAATATTCCAGGGCTCACACCAGGTCTCAATTGAGCTGAGATCGCGCTGGAGTTTTCTAACAACATAACCCTCCCTATGATCTGTCGCATACAGACAGGTGTCGTCCGCAAAGAGGGCCAGGTGAATATCATGAGTTTGGGAGGGGGGCATAATTAATGTACTGATTGAAAAGAGTAGGGGACATGACCAAACCTTGCATTTCCCTTGGCCTTGACATTTCGCCTTCAACCGAAACCCTGAATTTACGTTGAGAAAGAAAGGACCTAGTAAGTTTGGCCAAAGTGTTCGAGATTGCAATTTTGATAACTTATAAAGCTAGCCCGAGTGCCACTTGGTATCAAAGGCTTTTTAGATGTCTAAATACACCGCAGTCGTAGACATTTTATTGTTGAAATTAAGGGTCACGTGGTCCGCCAGCCTCATACATTGCAATGTCGTGCTGTGACGTGCACGAAAACCAAACTGGCTTACGTTGATCAGGCCTCTTTCTTCAATATGTTTTGGAAGTAATTTCAAAATCACTTTTTCGAAGTTTTCCTGTCGTGGACAGGAAAATGTCGGGTCTTTACCGGGTTTAGGTAAATTTGTTACTTTTGCTTTCTTCCAAGTATTTGGAAAGTCAGAGAGCCTAAGACAATGATTAAATAAATGAGTTAGGGGAACCAATGGTCGCCTTTGAAGGTGCATTAGGCATTAATTTGGGACCGTCAATTCCACAGGCCTTTTTTTAATTTCAAGGATTTTTGTATTTTCTGTACGTCACATGGTCTGATCCCTTGAGGGGGGTTGTCATCTACGGTTCCCAGCAGAGCTTGACCTCTAGCCTCCACCCGCCGTTCATGGTTTTCGTTGCACAGGTCATGCGGGGTGAACTGAATCTCCAAACAGTCAGCAATTTCGTTGGCTTTTTCGAAAGGATGCCAGAAGCACCATGAATAGCAGTTGGTGTTCTTGGTCCATCTCTCATCAAGAGAGATTTCGCAATGGGCCATATAGCCTGAGGTGTGACTTCAGCGCTACCTTTTTTTGTTTCCCACAATTCAAGTGCCTTTTTATGGGTCAGTCGCCTGATTGATTTTGTGACCCTGTTGACTGCCGTTTTACACGCTGGTTTCTTGGCGCCATTTTCGTAGCCTCTGCTTATGTTATAGCAGGCGATCTAGACCAGGAAGATCGTTGTTTATGACCGAAAGTGTAACTTTTCTTGTGGACAACCTATATGCCGAAGCAATAGAGGCTGCAAAGTTGGACGCCGCTTTATCGGCTTCTACCCCATACTTAATTTCTGTTTTAGGTGATATTAACCCAGAGGCGAGGCTTTGAAACCACTCCCAATCTGTGATTTTTTCTGTAGGTTCTGAACGGTTCCTAATTTTAATATGATCCAGTATGTGGAATACTATTTGTAGGTGATCTGAAACCAAAAAATCAGAGACGATGAAATCCGATACTCTGATATTTTGGTGGACCTCAATATCCAGCACGTCACCATTTCCCGCAGGGGATAAAGAGTGGGGCACTGTGGTGCTGAAATTTCGAATTTACTCATATCAGACAAATCCATGAGTTGTTCGCCTGAGGGTTTTCAAACTTTACTATTCCAAAATGGGTGTTTTGCATTCAAATCACCTGCCAGAATAGACTTACGTCTAAAGCTTAAGAGCTCAGTGATGTCAGCATCACTCCAGGCCCTACCTGGAGATTTATAAACAGCTGCAAGCAGTATAGTTGTAGTACTTAGAGCTGACAGTCCAGGAAAAGCTGCGCAGTGGATGGGCAGGTCCGTTCGTGAAAGTTGACGGGTGTTATAATTAGTCTTTCGTCTGCATTCAGTGCGAGCAGACATCTCAAGAGCATTCTTCCTTGTACAGTCAAGTTAAAATGATTTGACTCTTGTAGTCGTATTTGAGTGTATTATTCTCTAATTACTGTATTAATATTGTGACGCATTACCTTACGTCCATCACCGCGCAACGGCTACAATGGAAATTGTTGAGTTCCAACAGCGACAAATCGAAATGGTTAAAGGAACGACTTATTCCGAACCTTCCCCCAAATTCTGCCCTTGTCATTGATAATGCTCCCTACCATAACGTACAACTAAACAGAGCCCCTAACTCAAATTTAAGAAGAGATTTTATGATATCCTGGCTAAAATATCACATTCCACCTATTATCTTCATTAACACTGATTTTTCATCATTGCGGAATCCAGACATATATATTATGATCCTCACTCAAACCGAAATACCTTTCCTATAAAATAGATGGAATCTTTGCAGAACACAGTCACAGCATTTTACGACTCCCTCCGTATCACCCAGAACTCAACCCAATTGAGTTAATATGGGCCACCGTAAAAAACTGGGTTGCTCAAAACAATACCACATTTAAGATAGATGATGTCATTAAACTGGCAGACCAAAAATTGGCTTCCATAACTGCAGAAGAATGGCAACGTAGGTGCCAACATGTAAGGAACATTGAGCAACAATTAATGGCATGGGAAGGCCTTTTGGACGCAGGACAGGAGTTCGTCTTCCATGTTGGCGGTAATAGTGATGACAGTTCTGATGATAGCTCCGATTTATCTGGTGGTGACAAGGAAGGACAGGCATGTGGAGATGATTTCTATGCGGATATTGCCGGTGATAGAATAGACCTGTGTAATTTGTAAATAAACTCTTCATGTATATAAGAGTGAAAAGTGTATAATAGTGTATAGTGCATAATAGTCTGCCATTCGGCCCTTAAAACTTAACATCGGATGTGTGAACATCAACGAGAATAAACCACCATCACTATGCAACACAATGAGGTAAGACGTTATTTCCTTTTAGAACGCCTGTACTGCATTCCCCGCCACACTTGTCGGCATGCTGGATCTCTCCCCGCCACTACCAATACTTCCCCTATTCCGCGTCGGAGGACTGTCAGCTCTAAGTACTAGAGCTGTACTTCACTGTTACCAGTCGGTACGCAGACCCCTGTCACCTCTACTGAAACAAGAGGTGGTAGGTCTACATCAGGCATGTCAAACTCAACTTGTACATAGGGCCACCTCAGCCCTATAAATAATAGTCCAGGGCCGAACTTAAAAATATAAATATACATTAGATTTTGATACAAGGAAATTTAATTTTATTACAGTTTTAAAGAGTAAGAGAATGCCATTCGTGACAAGTATCAAACAAACATATAGAAGAAAAATCGTAGTTGATAATTTAATGTTTAATTATAACCTTTATACGTTCATCACAATGTAACATCAGCACCTGTCGCTGTGTGAAAATGAACTGAATGACAATGTACAAGAGACTACCGGACTAGTAGGAAGGTGTATCTTGTCTCAATGGTCATAAAAGTGAAAGTTTGCTAGTAGCCCATTAGACAATGGCTGGGTGTTGCGAGCTAGTTTTGAAGGTAGCAATCCCTTGCACTTATCCGTCAGTTGCCACCCTCCTTGCATTCTTACTACGCCTCCAAAAGGGATTCTTGGAAATACTTGGAGTTGTTAGGCTGTGCGGATTTTAGTGCATTACTGTTCTGAAATACAATAGTTTGTCCTTCACGAACTTTACAACCCGTTAGTTGGACAAGCCCTTCTTCAA